CCAGACTAGCCCGATCTCGTCAGATCTCAGAAGCTAAGCAGGGTCAGCCTTAGCTTGCATTTGGATGGGTGATCTCCAGTGAATACCAGGGTCGTGATGCACAGGCAGGCAATGGCAAACCACCTCTGAAATGTCTCTTGCCTTAAAAACAGATCTAGCTCACCACCTAGTGGTGCATAATGCTAAAAGAGCTAGAACTTCCGGCTGCCAGACAATGTTAGGATCTCCTGGCTATACTACACACACTGCCATATGATGATGATGATGATAATAATAATAATAATAATTATAATAAAAGGGGGGGATGTGTTGTAAATCAAAGAAGGCATAGAGTCAAACAAGCTAGAAAACACTGGGGGAGGGGAACTCCCCCACAGAGTTGCAAAGGGTGGAGATAACTGGATCCTCCAGGCTACTGGTCATGAAGCTGACCAGATGGGTAGTTGATTCTCAGTGGGGTTTGAGACCTGGTATAAGATGTGAATGTTGTTGCACCTGTTGGGAACAGTGACCACAAACACTATTAAGTTCAGCATTTGTCTCAGTTGAAAGTAGTCACCAAAGGCCAAAAACAGTCACATTTTATTTCAGAATAGGGAACTTTACAAAAATGAGGGGACTAGTTATAAGCAAGCTGCATGGGAAACACAAGTCAAATGCCCAGAGGATGCTTAGAAGCTATTTAAAACCACACTAATTGAGTCCCCATTAGAATCCATTCCCCAGGTTAGTAAACTCCACAAAGAGGCAGTAAATCTCTGAATACCAGTGCCAGGAGGCAACATTTGAGGAAGGCCTTGGCCTCTGTGCCCTCTTCTTGGCCCTCCAGAGTAACTATGTGAGAGCAAGAGCCCGTGTGTGAGACAGAATGCTGAACTAGGGCCCCGGTCACACTGGGGGGGGAAAGGTGCGGCTGAAGTGCAGCTTTTTGGAGCCGCATCAAAAGAACCGCGGCGGTGGGATCAGACAGACCCCCCCAAGCCGCCGCGCAGTTGCTCCCCAGCATGATCAGATGCCGGGGGGGAAGTCACAGATCGGTGAGCGAGGTGATCCCGCTGTGCATGCGCAGTTCTACAGGGCCTCCGTATGCTGCAGGGAGACGGGCGCGTTGACGATCAGACGCCGGCCCGTGATGCGCATCAACAGGTAGGTAGTACACTTTTGGTGCTACCTTTTTGCAGCGGGTTTTTGGCTGGAAGGGATGGATCGGGGACGGGTGCGCGCCACTTCCCAGATGTGGTGGTATGATCACACCCTCTTGATGCGCCCCCCGATCTGTCCCTCCCGCGGGGCAAATCCTCCCCTGTGACCGGGGCCTAGATGGACCACAGATCTGCTCTTACATTCTTGCTGCGTGGCTTTGGCCTAGTCATGTACTCTTCAGCCTAACCTACCTCACAAGGTTGTTGTGAGGATAAAACAGAGGACAATGTACACTGTCTGGGGTCCTCATTGTGGATAAATGCAGATATAAATGAAAGGGCAGCACTTACACATCAAACGTATGGCTGACTTTTGTCCTCTTTGCGCTCTTTCAGATTGCGGGAGAAAAGGGTCAGTAACAGCAGATTTTACTCCTAGAGAATCTGTTTCCTTCAGAGCATTCTTTGTCTAGAGCCACCTGGTAAGACATGTTGATTTACCCTGGAGACACTACATAGGGCAGAAGTTTTGCCTGTCTGAGATAATAATGCAAGTTAGAAAAAAATGTTTTGTTAGAATTTTTATTTTGTATACTACCTTTTACCAAACAAGCACACTACAAAAGCTGGGTTTTGTGTGTGTAGTAAACATTCCTTGTCCACGTTACTGATCTGAGTAGGGGTCTGGGAAAGTAATGGATGCAGTCATTTTGTGCATTTGTGTTTACCTCTCCTTGTTGGGAGAGTTGGACTACTGAGATTTCAGCTCCAGGTCCTCATTCAGCCACTAGTCAGTCTTTCTCTCAGCCTAACCTACCTCGCAAGGCTGTGGAAAGAGTAAAACGGAGGAGGGGAGAATCCTGTATCACCCTCCTTGGACGAAAAATCCGGATAATAAATAAAGCAGTCTGTTGGAAATGACAGTTCCTAGAACCATATTAAAACTCAGAAGGTCTATTATCTTGTACACTTTCACATGAACATATGAAGCTGCCTTACAATTGAATCAGACCAACAGTCTTGTCTGCTCAAACTGGCAGCAGCTGGCCAGCGTCTCAGGTGGAAGTCTTTCACATCACTAACTGCCTGGTCCTTTTAACTAGGGATACCAGGGATTGAACCTGGGACCTTCTGCATGTCAAGCAGATGCTTGATCACTGTGCTACAGCACTCTTTCTCAGAGGCATCAATCAGCGTAAGCTCTGTCATGTCTGTCTGGAAGGTATTAGTGCCAATTCATGACCCACTCTACAGTCTACCATTCGAGACAATTAAGTGTGCCGAGAAAGAAGCCTTTAAAGACCATTGAAAGTTGCCCTTGTTGTTTGATTGAGCCTCCTTATGCTTCTTTTGCTAGGTGGAACAGTTAATACTTTCCCAAAGGATGTCGGGAAGGAGGACAACCCTATGCATCAACTACAACTTATCAGGATTAAAACTGTTTTTGCAGTCATATCCACGTTCTCAAGAGAAGATAAGCCACCGGATTATTTTATGGACTGCATAGGGTTACTTAAAAAACAAACAACAAGAATGTTAGATTGTTTTTCTTGTGTGTGCTTGTGGTAGAACCTAGGATCTAAAAATCCCTGTTTGATTTACAGGGCTGATAACTTATTTATTTTAAAATGCATGCGTGAGAGAGAGAGACTGTATTTGTATGTGTAGGCTAGCACCAAATAAAAAAAAGTGGATTTGTACAATTATTAAAGAGATTAAATATATATATATATATATATGTATGTAACAATGGGCAGGTTTCTAGTTTTTATTTGCAGGCTTGCTAGGATTTGGAGTGACGGCCCAGGTTTTTCGCCCACTAGGCGAGGATACATTCTTACAAGGGGGCTGGAGCCGCAGCAGGCGGGCCAGGATCGCTTGAGGGGAGGGGGCCTGTGCCAGGCTGCAAAAGGAGCTCCAAAGAGGGCGAGTGGCACTTTCCTGTCATCCTGGGCTGTTTCTCGCACCTGTTGCCCCCGGCCTCCTTCTCTTTCTGTCTGGGGGGCTGCAAAGAGGGGAGTCTCTTGTCGGGGGCGGAGCAAGAAGCCGGCAAGGGAGGCCTCCTGTGCGGGGCGAGGAGGGGATGAAGCCGGCCAGAATGGAGCCCTCATCGAGCCGTCGCCCTAGGTGACAGTCTAAAATTTAACAATAACGGGCCGGCCCTGGGAATAGTTAAGTTCCCTTAGTTTCAGGTCCTTTTGAGACTGCAAGAAGAGCAAGGTTTAAGTCCAGGAGTGGCTTAAAGACCAATAAGATTTCCAGGGTATAAGCTTTTGAGAGTTGATTCTTGTTGGCCTTCAAGGTGCTACTGGACTCTTTCTACTCTTCCTGGTGGAGATGGAGGTCCATCTGCCCTGTGGCTTTAATACCCTCTGCCACCAGCCTTTGTCATCCGTCCCTTTGCATCTACAGTCTCAGGCCAGCTTGCAGTTTGAACAGATAGCAGGACCTCTGTTCTGTCTTAGGCTAATTGGCTGAAGGCTGGTCTGGTTTCCCTTAGAAGGAAGGAAGGTACAGATTCCCTGTGATGGTAACTTGGCTTTCCAAATGATGATAGAGGCCACTGTGCACATCCGTCTTTCTGTAGTTGCTTGGCAGCTGGCTCTAACAGGCTTTTTAGATCTATTCCATAGTTTCCCAAGGTGAGGAAAGTGTAAAATGCACACACACTTGTCATTTAATGGTTGGTGGGATTCTTTGGATATTTTTTGACATTTTGACTTCTGGCATTTTGCCTTTTTAGCACTTACTGCTATTTTTTGCATGCACGCATAAGCATTCAAGAGCCAGTTTGGTCTAGTGGTTAAGTGCACTGACTCTAATCTGGGAGAACCAGGTTTGATTCCCCACTCCTCCACTTGCACCTGCTGGATGATCTTGGGCAAGCCATTGTTCTGGCACAGTGGTTCTTGAAAAAGAGCAGTTTCTGTCAGAGCTCTCTCAGTCCCACCTACCTCACAGGGTGTCTGTTGTGGGGAGGGGAAGGGAAAGGAGTTTCTAAGCCGCTCTGAGACTCCTTTAGATAGTGAACAGCGGGGTATAAATTCAATCTCTTCTTCAATTCCAGTTTGTGGAAAGGAAAACTATTGCTGAAAAACACAGAAAATGGAACAGGTAGGCTACAGTGTGTGCCTGGGGTAAACAGGGAGGCTACAGTGTAGCCCACTCATGTACCATGGGTAATTTCCCATACATCTCCAAATGCAAGGCTCCCCAATACACTGCCTGCCCATACCTACCCATATGTCCCTGGCATCTGCTCTGAGCTTTTCAGAAAATGGGCAAGGCTGTTGTAAAGCAGAGCCTGCCATTGGCTGTCTTCATTCAAATAAAAAGGCCTTTCCATGGCTGCAACACCAGTAAGAGTCTGAATTTCCGTTGTCGGTACGTGGTCAGATTCCGCCTCAGGCTTTTCTTTTTAATCCCAGTCTCTTCCCCCCCCCCTCCCCCTTGAGTGTTGCTTTCATTCCTCTGGGGTGATTCTTTTGCAAAGCAAGCTGGGAGGTATTGTGTTTGACTCCACTTTCTGTGGCAGCAGCCTTTTTGGGATGGCACTCACCACACCCCTTGTCAAAATTCCAGAGGTGCCCCACAGGTTCGAAAAAGGTTGGGGACTCCTGTCCTTAGCACCTCCTGGAATTCTGTGAAAGTATCTTTTGTGGCTTATCAAACTTGTTGAAAAGCCATCCCTTAAAGCTCTGACAAGCAAGGAAAATGCAGAAGAATTTTTATGGTAAATAAGTTCACTTCAGTGCCTGACGCTGATCCCAGTGTATGCAATATTTTATTGGAAAAAACACACACACACACACACACACACACACCTCATGTACAATAAGTACAATTTCATGTGCTGACAAACACCAAGACTTTGTGGTTATTTTAAAAAGCCATTTCTTTTTGCTAAAGTCTATATACCTCCAACAGCAATCAACATGGCTCCTGACAATGGTTAATGGCCTTTGTGTGCTATACCTGTTACACCGTGACAGCCTGCAGAGCATACTGAAACAGGGCAGAGCTATGCTGATCAAATCCTTGCTCTTCAACTGGTTTGAAATTTAGTTGAACGTGCCTCTCGGGAAACATCCAGTCCATCAGCCATGCTCCTTGCAAAGTCTCTGGTGCCGTGCAAAAAGGACCTGCGACCAGCCGACTGCAGTCGTTAAGACCATGTGTGTTTGCACTGCTTCTAGTAAATAAATAGAAAAAATAAATAAGGGGCAAAAAAGGGGGGGGGGAGAAAGTCTATTTTTAATCAGAAAGACCTGTAAGTCTCTTGCACATCATTGTAGCAGTCTGCGAATAAAAATTAACATAATTTAAACCTGCTTCTCAAAAGTGTAAATTCTGTCTGAATACTGACTGAAACTTTTAGTTCTTGAGATAATCCTACAAAAACTAGGTGTCACTTTAAAAAAAGTACTGGTTGTATTTTCTCTTCTCATTTAGAAAATACAGAAAACATCAGCAGAAAACTACCTCCTCTATAAAGTACTTCCCACCCCAACCCCTTTAATATAAAAGGTTCTTATTTAAATTCTTGTTAACGGATAACTGACGTCAGTAACTAAAAATACTGCACTTTGCTTTCTAAAAAAAAGAGTTTAGTATTAGAACTGTACATGTGTATATGCTGGAGGATGAACACGGGAGCAGAGCTACATGAGATTTATGATTAATCTCGTGTCTCTAGCTGAGTGATACAAAGCCATCACACTCCCAAGAGAGATATGTATGTTACAACTGGAAGACAAATTCAGTGAGACCTGCATTTTGTGTCTACAAGTGCACAACTGTGGGAAGAAGAAGAAAAAACCCAACTATGGGAAAAGGAAGAGATAATGTAGAAGTGGAGGCAGAGAAAGAGAAGAACAATCTTCTTCTCCTTTCGGAAATGGAATGTCCTTTGCCAGAAAAATGGTAAGCAGGACAGCCGCCGTTCTGCTGCATCAAGAGTAGATGGTAATGACTTCTCGGCCACCGCCTCGGACCAATAACACCCGCTCCAGGCCTTCGGTCAGGACTTCAAGAAATTCCATGTCTGGATCAGTGGAAGTCAAGGGCAACTGGCAGCAGAGCTGTAGAGAGAGGAACTTCAAAGGCATAGTGGAAGGATGCATCGTACCAAATAACATTTCCACACTTTTAACAGAACTGCAAAACTGCCCATAAAGTATGCAGATGTATGGCCCTCCACCTGTAAACCATCTGATGCAACAGTACAGGAGTCTCCAAGGCATTGCACTTTTTCTGGTATTTGACAAATGTTTTTAAAAAGTGGGCGGGACCAGGTGGGGCTTTTGCCCACCAGGACTTCTGATTGGCTGTGTAGATTTTTAAGAAGTTACTTCAGCAGTGCCCGAAGCACTGCACTGCGTGACTACAGGTAAGCTATGTATATGTAAGAAAATATTTTAAAACAATATGCTCATTTAAAAAGGCATCCTATTAAACAGAGTTTCTGTGTCTGAAATGGTGAAGAGATCCATGACCTCATTCCCTGACATGTGGTTGGCTCCACCTCCTGGAGCAGCCATTTTTTACCCACCAAAACTATGTTAGAATTCCAAAGGTGCCTGTAAGGTAAAGGTTCCCTTGCTCGAAAGCCAGTCGAGTCCGACTCTAGGATTGCAGTGCTCATCTCTGTTTCAAAGCCGAAGAGCCAGCGCTGTCTGAAGACGTTTCCGTGGTCATGTGGCCGGCATGACTAAACACCAAAGTGCATGGAACGCTGTTACCTTCCCACCGAAGTGGTACCTATTTATCTACTTGCAATTTCTTGCTTTCAAACTGCTAGGTTGGCAGGAGCTGGAACTAGAGACAGGAGCTCACTCTGTCGTGCGGCAACTCGGGTCTTGAACTGCTGAACTACTGACCTTCCACAGCCTGCAGTTCAGCGTCTTAACCACTTGAGCCACCACAGCTCCCAAAGGTGCCTATAGGCCTCCCAAAAATTAAAAAAAAACCTCCACTAGGATGTAACAGACATGCTTATAGGGGTTACATCTGCTGAGAAATTGCGACCATACCAGCCTAGAGCTTGTATGCCCTTGAATGCAGAATTAATCTACTAAGTCACTTTCTGGGGGGAATATTCATCTGGAGAAACAGGTGTTCTGTGTGCACGCCATCCAGGTGGGGAGAAGGAAACCTATGAACAGGACTGTACCACATTTATTTTAACTATATGCCACTCACCCCAATAGATCCCAGGACAGAAATCAACAGGGTTCATGCCTTACTTTGATCCTACGGGAAGCAGGCAGTGAACAGCACCTACTAACTGCAGTTAAAATGGCACCAAAGAAAGTAACGGCAAGACCACCTCCAGGGTTGACTTTGAGTCAAGATTCAAGCCAGCAAGGACTTTGAGGAGTAACAGACCTCTCCCCATATCTCATGAGAATCTTTTTTTTTAAAAAAAGGGAATCCTAGCTTTCCCCATAAAAAGATACAGTTCTCATCCCCATCGATGTTTTTCGGAGGGCCAGGCATGTTGAGAAGAACGAGTCGTGCTTCGTGGGACCGGTTAACAATGACTTCATTCAGCTTCACAGCGGTGTGCATTCTCCGAACATTTGACTGGTTGCTGTAGAAAAGCCACATTTAGAGGTGCTGTTAGAAATAAGCATGTGCGAAAAAAAGTCATCACGTATCTGAAGAAGCGAGCAGTGACTCATGAAAGCTCATACCCTGCCACATATTTTGTTACCCTGTTTCCCCAAAAATAAGACCTACCCCAAAAATAAGCCCTAGCAGGATTTCTATGCATTTGTGGTATAAGCCCTATTGTGTCTTCTTGAGAAAAAATAAATATAAGACAGTGTCTTATTTTTGGGGAAACACAGTAGACTTTAAGGTGCTACTGGAATCATAGGAAATGTTACAGAACTCCAGGCCCCCTGGCCCGTTCCAAGAAGCAAGAGTAATTTTGGCATGTGCTTCCATGTATTGGCCCATGCGGTGTGGTTGTACCTCTCTTCTGTCATACACTCCCAATTCCAAACCTATTACTTGGAAAGCAGGTTGCATTAAAATCGGGGAATGCCCAGGGTCAATGGTATAGCATCTCAGCTGAACTATTAAGACAGGTCAACACCAACAACTACGTCAAGAGGTTTCCTTGGCTTACAGAGTCCTGAGGTATTGGTGGTGGAATGTACCCCAGAGATTCTGCTGCAAAGGTTTATTGCTCAGGAACGAGGAGGAAAGAACTGCATACACAATGATGCGGCCCTGTTGTTAGTTATTGCTGGTGTTGCCCTGCATGAACCTTGTGCAGTATCTATAAGGCTATGGACCGTAATCATAAGCTGGACTGTGCAATGAGTGTGCCAAGGAACTGGACTGTGTGGCAGACCCGATGAAGGTGCCAACCTCCTGGACTGAAGACAATTTGGAGTACTTTTGGCATAAATTCATTAAACTGAAATCCAAAATGGTGGTTAAAGAAATGCCTCAATAGCACAGAAAGAAGGAACGTGCATGAATGTGACATTAGTGGGGGGGGGGGGGGGGGGACAGAGGTTC